ATGGAGATAGGGATTTTCAGGTCTTGCTGGATCACTTCTTGAGAATAAAAGTTTACAATCGTTACATCTCAAGTGAGCAAAATTTCTTCCGCTATGTTTTTGTCTTTGCTTGTCCATTTGTCATATGTCCAATTTTAGCAGTTTCCTATTTGTTTTTGGGTTATGGGGGGTGGGATGAGGGATTTGAATTGTGAAGACACATTAACTTTTGTTATTTTTTTTAATTTTCCCTTATATCCTTCAATTTATGTGCTTCAATTTACTGTTCAGTGGCAACTATGGTGGTGCGTTAGGGGCTGCAGCTTTGGCTAAAGGCCTGGAGGGCAATAAATCTTTGAGGGTACGTTTCTGATCAATTCCTCCGTCCCACACGCACCTCCTTACCCTTTTCAGTTTCTTTTTTTTCTTTTGACCTGGCAAATTATTGAGCTTCTCGTAACCTTGATATCTTGCTTCTGTCTCCTTGGACAATTTGTTGGTATTTTGTGAATTTTACTCTCTGCTCTCATGTTTCAATTTGATCGCTTAGAAGAGCTGTTTTCAAAATTTTCAATAGCTACCATTTAATTTTCTCTGTGACTGCTGACACTAGGATAGCATGCTAATGCGCTTAATGTCATTAAAGAAACTTTCTCTGTTTACCTATGGGAGCACTATATATCCTAAAAACCCTTATTTCTTCAACTATGCTTGAAATGTTTCTGTATGTGCAGGAACTTTATTTGCAAGGGAACTCTATTGGTGATGAAGGAGTACGGGCATTAATTTCTGGCCTATCTTCTCGTAAAGGTTTGCTTATGATGTATAATTAACCATTCTTTACCATATTCGTGTTGTGTCTTGTGCATATTTGTGGAGTTACATGCGTCACCATTATATGTCTGCAGGGAAACTTGTCTTACTTGACATGGCCAACAACTCAATTACTGCTAGAGGTGCATTTCACGTAGCAGAATATGCCAAAAAAAGCAAAAGCTTACTATGGTTGAACCTCTATATGAATGACATCAAAGATGAGGTAATTGAATCATTTAGAACTTTCACATGTTCTTTTGGGGAAGGTTAACGGTTGATTGATAGAGAAAAACATGAAGAGTATGACTTGGTTGGAGCTGAATGTGATAGTTGTTCATTATTGAAAGCAGAGCATAGGGTTAGATCGCGTGGTCGAGAAAAAACTTAATGGTTCCAAACATTAAAGAAGATAATTTCCGACTGGGTTTTATCACGTTGGGATAGCCAAAAGAAAATTAGAAGGCTTGCTTGGCCCATGGTAGTAACTGGAAGATGTTGAATGAACTAAGGTTTTTTTTATTTTTATGTGAGCGGGTCCGGACTTCAATCTCGATATGCATTGACTTTTCCTTTTTTCCTCCCCAATTGATATCCGTCAGGGAGCTGAAAAAATTGCAGAAGCTTTGAAGGAGAACCGCTCAATAACTAACATAGATCTAGTAAGCTGTTGTTTCTT